GTTTCCCCCTCCGAGATATGAAACGTCTCAAGGCGCCGAGGAAAGCGTCGGTGGTGAGATCACTTACGAGTTCTATATGAACTGTCTTGGTGACGAAGCAGACGAAAATGGCCAAGTACGCCTTGTGATTTTTAGCGTTACGTCTATTTCCCTCTCTCAATATTACCGGGCCGGCATAATCGATTCTGCAACGTGCGAAAGGTCGCGCTACCGTGACGCTACTGGCTGGTACAGAAGCCATGACGGCCTCAGATTGCTGCGGGTTTGCCTTAAAGCAAGTAATGCATTTTCGTTTATTATACTACGCGCGCTTGAACGCAAGGACAATGGCCAGAAAGTTTGTCGAACTGAGGCCATGGTAGCCTGTAATCCAGCGTGGAGGTTGCGAACATGCTCGCATTCTATGACGAGTCGAGTCAGGCGATGATCACCAGGGAGCAGAATAGGATGGCAAGAATTGTAATGAACTTGGGAGTTTCTCAATCTGCCCCCCACTCTAATCAGTCCGTCTTTATCAATAAAGGGTGAAAACGACAGCAGCTTACTTGCGTTGTGAATGGTCTCCCCCTTACTTAATGATTCCTGCTCATGTGAAAAGGTCCGCTTCTGGACATCCCTGCAAATGATTTTCAAAGAGTGTGAAAACTCATCGGGAGATATGAATTTGCTCGACGCCATGGCACGTCGAGTTTTAAAGAGTCGCAGACAGTAAGCTATGATTCAACATATCTTGTTTAGATTGGAAAACTTATTTAAGAGGTCGTCGATGAAGAAATGCTTGATGTTTGCAGTGGCAGCTACTACCGCCTTCCTTTGCTCTGGAACACTCTCCCTCAATTTCGCAAAGGCGCCGCTGGGCCACAGATCATCATGTAACTGTAGGAAAGGAGGCCCATGCCATCACATGATTGAATTGTTTAAATTGTGAGGATCTAGCCCGCGAGAAAGAATATCGGCAGGATTATCGGAGGAGCCAACATGACGCCACTCCTCGATTTTAGAGACGTTGGATTTCGCCAACCCTATTAGCTACAAAAACCGACCACTTTCGAGAGGGGGAGGTGGTCCAATTTAAACTGATTGTCGAATCCGACCAAAGGAAAAGCTGCACGTGCGAAGCGTCCAATGCCTCCTGCACGTTTGCAATCAAACGGGCCAATAGCAAGACCGCCGACAATTCGAGTCTAAGCAACGACGTGGCCTTAATAGGAGCCACACGAGATTTCGAACATAATAACTCGGAATGATATTCCCCCGAACTTGATCTGGTGCGAACATATACACAAGCTCCGTACGTGCTCTGGCTAGTGTCGCAGAAACCGTGCAGCTGAATGAAGTGGAGGTCCGACTTAAGTCTTACTCCCCGGGGAACTCGTATTTGATCTAAGTCGAATAACTGGGACCTGAGTTTTAGCCATCGCGTATGAAGGTCTTGTGGGACTGACTCATCCCAGTAGATGCCGGATTGCCAGAGCTCTTGTAATATCAGCTTGGCAATGACAATAGTGGAGCCCAAGAGTTCCAATGGATCGAAACATCTGGATATTTCGGATAAAATCACCCGGACACAACACTGCATGTGGGGTTGAGCTCGCACGAAAAAAGAAGGACGTCCTGGGATTGATTTCACCTAACGCCTAGAATAGAAGAATCGTCATTATTTAAGCTAAATCGTCGTCATGTCCTTGCAAGGATTCTAACAGTTGAGGGCAATTAGACGCCCATTTATTAAGTTCAAAGCCCGTAAAAGTTGTATAATTTCATCGCGAATTTGTTCGAGTTTGCAAATGGAATCGGCTCTGGTGAGCAAGTCATCGACATAGAAATCACGCTTGACGCAAATTGAACCGAGAGGAAATTCAGACGAGTGTTGCTCTGCCAAATGGATGAGGCATCTCGTGGCTAAAAATGAAGCCGCGGACGTCCCATAGGTTATCGTTAATAATTCATAGGTATCGACTTCATTCCCGGAATTATTTCTCCATAGAATTCTTTGGGATTTCTTTAGAATAAACTTGTTTGGGTCGGATCCACTAGCACTTGCCTGTACATTTTGATGACATCCATGGATATCACATTGCGAAAGTATCGAAAGCGCATTAGTATTGAAGCGAGGTCTTGCTGAACCATTGGGCCCGCTCCTAAGACGTTTAGGGAGGTCCCTGAGTCGGATTTGCATGAGGCATCGAAGACGACGCGGAGCTTTGAGGAACCTCCTGCGGACTTAACTACACAATGGTGAGGTAGATAAAATGCCGGTGCGCTTTCGTCAGAAGACGGAGTTATCATACGCATATGCCCCAATGCTAAATATTCTTCCATGAATTGTATTGAGATTCCAATACTGGATTACGTGAGAAATGTTTGGTAGCGTTCCGAGTTGCGCATGAAACGCATGACCGCATTATTGCTGTGCAGCGCTTCGAAATCGGTCCATTTTATTAATGTGCATGAAGCGCTTCAACTATTCGGAACGGTTTCCTGCGCGTTAGTGCGAAATGAAAATGGACACTGCACAAAATATCAACAAACGAATTTCCGTAGTAATCTCTTCATTAATACTTATGTCGAAAACTGATGAAAGTGATAGTTCCGAATCAAGTGATACTGAAAATGAAGATGAAGATATATCACTATGTGATATGCAGACATTGTTTTCCATACTAATGTTAGATAAATCACGTGGAGAAAACATTGCAGTTGAAAAAATTACGGATTATGTAATTTTTCGATCGCGTAATTCCTAATTATACCAAAATTATATTTAAAGAACATTTTAGGTAAGCATTTTAATATGAAAGTTATAAAGCTATATATATATATATATATATAATATTTTCCATCAAATTTTATTAAATTCATATCACTTATATCATAATTAAATATTCTAGAATGTATCCTGCTATATTTGAAATGGTTCTATCACTAATTGGACCAGCACTAAATGCTACAGGTACTACAATTGGTAGAAAACCAATTGCGGCAGAAAAGCAACTTTATATTGCTCTTTGGTTTATGGCTACTCCTGATTCATACAGTATGTAAAACCTAACTTTAGGGCAAGTAATTAATTATTTTTTAAATTAAATTACACAATAATATGTATAAGAACGCTCGAAGATTTACAAAGTAATGTAACTAACGAATTACGACCAATAAAACGAGCAATTTAAGATCTAATGATAAATCAAAATATATTATAATAATGATTTCGAATTACACACAATTTGCATATAAACTTTTCAACTCACAGAGTCGTTTTATATGCAAATTGTAATTCGAAATCATTATTACAATATATTTTGATTTATCATTAGATCTTAAGTTGCTTGTTTTATTGGTCGTAATTCGTTAGTTATATTAAATAACATTGACACATTTAATTGACAATTGATATGAGCGAATTCAATTCAAGATAATTTAATTGACGATTGATTTAAGCAGAGTTAATTAAAATTAGTTTAATTGACCATCTGTGACTCAAAAATTAATGAGTTATACTATTTTCGTCATAAAATATTCTATCCTTTAGTAAAGGAATAAGGCTCAAAATCAAATGTATATTAAAAAATAATACATCTAATAATAATAATTTAATATTGAACGTATAAAGCACTGTCAAATGAAAAATGCTATTAAATTGCAACAAATTTTTCAAGAATTGCTTACTTTTTTGGATTGTTACAGATCTGTTTGTGTGAAATTTGGAATTGGCAAAGCAATTATGCTTTTAGGGCTTTAAGGCGAGTTATCTATGCACTTCATTGCATCGCACCTAGATTTATACAGTGGCCCAATGAAGTTGATGCTATCGATATTACGGAACATTTCAAAAAGACATGTGGTTTTCCAAATGTCATCGGTGCGATAGATGGAACGCATATTAAAATTCGAGCTCCGTCAACTGATTCAGCTTCTTACATAAATCGAAAAGGTTTTGCATCCTTAAATCTCCAAGTAGTATGCGATTCACGCGGTCTCTTTACGCACTGCTATGCTGGGCAAGTAGGATCAGTTTACGATGCTCGAGTTTTTAGAAACTCTCCAGTTGCAAGTTTTCTATAGATATCTGATGTATACTTTCCTAATGATTCCCGTATTATCGGAGATGTTGCATATCCAATTCATCAGCATTGGTTTCGTTTCGAGACAATGGCCATTTATCAAATCGACAAAAAAATTACAATTATTGTCTATCGTCGACACGAATGGCAGTTGAACGTGCGATTGGACAGTTAAAAATACGGTTTAGAATACTATTAGATTGTCTACCACTAACACATCTTAAAAAAGTTCCGGAGTTTATTATAGCATGTTGCGTGTTACATAATATTTGCATATTACAAAATGATATAATGACTGTTGGCGTCCAATATTGTGAAGAATTACAGGCACCCGTTCGCGATAATAACACTGAGATAGGGAATGCTAAAAGAACAAGAATAATGAATACATTGCAAATGAGGTTCATCGATTGAGTTCTAATTGCAATATATTCATCGAGAATGAATAGTCGACAAAAATTCTTTTTAATAATTCATGTTGCGTATATAAAATAGGTTTTTAGGATTAATTTAAAATATTAGGATAGGTTTGTAGGATTAAGAATTAATAAATAACATAAGGATTTGATAATATAAACGTTTTTTATTAATAAATGGACATTGGTTATAAATTTTTGTCTTACTTCTATTATATTTATTTAGTCTTTGTTATTATACTATTCAGTCTTATTGTATCACATCGTAAATTAAATTTTTTAACACTGTTTAAAAAATATTCTTTGACAAACAAGATCTATTGTCAAACAAGACCTATTGATCGAACATAATAACATAATATTAAAATTTGAAGCTGCATACTAAAACTTAAAATTCGTAAGTAAAATAAAATTAACTAATCAATATAAAACAACTTTCAGAGCTTCAACTAGTAATGCTTTTAAACTTATTTCTTAAACCCTTTCTACATTTGCGTAAGCGTAGTTTTAAATTTGTTGTATGTTCTTCTAAAATGTCTGGCCTGAAGTGGACATAAAAAATATTGTAGATCTAAACAAAAAGAGCGGGAAAAATAAAAATTCGTGGGCATTCTTTTCTGTATGAATTGATTGTAATTGTATGAATTGACCAACCACAGTCGAATATTATCCTCATATTCGATTGATATTGATCAATTCTTACAATTACAATCACTACGCTTACGCAATGTAGACTGGACTTTAGAAACACAGAAGAGTAGAACTACATTTTAGTAAGAAATTGTTGCAATATGGAGACTAATGATTTCTGTACAGCCATTTGCTCATTATGCCTTTTTTCACGTTCTTTTTTATTTTCTTCGCGTATCTTATCTTTCTCTATTTCTCTTTTTTTCATTTCTTCTTTTCTTTCTTCTTTTTCTGTCTCAATTTTATTCAAAAACGTTTCTATAACATTTTCAATTCGTTGTCTCTTTCTCGGCAGACCTATAATAAATAATATAAAAACGATCATTATATTATGACAAATAAGAATTGAATTAAATTAATACTAATTTTTTTTATCCTGCTTGCATGTACAGGGTGTTGCACCAACATACAGGTCAGTATGACGGGTTGCCCATTCGTGCAGGCGCGCAAAATCGTTCACAATTGCGTAGACTTCGGCGGCACAATCATAGCACACCCTTTTTTCCAATAAAGTTCGTAGTATATCAAATTGTAATGCAATTATGACGAACTTCCGTAGGAATAGGTTAAAACAAGAGCCGAAGTGACAAGATATAGGTTATAAAAACGAATTTTATCGTGAAAACGAAGCATGTTTTCCTTCTTGTAAGAAAAATTTGATCATAGTCGAATGTAATTATTGTGTAATATAATTTGATTGTTTGAATTATTTTTACAGAGAACGAAAGTCAGAAATAAATGTATCTTTGCAAATTTAAATTATAAACCGACAAATAAATTTGATTCACTGTAAATTTAAATAACGGCAATTATCGTTAAATCTTATAATATTTATTTGGAAGAATAACAATTCATTAATAAATTGATTGTTTAATAAACTATTATTAATAAGCAGTATGCAATTCTTTATATAAATGACTGCATATTATATCTATATTTTATAAATCTCCAAGAGGATTATTACTATATAATACTAATGAAGATTTATCCAATTTGTTGCTTATTTATAGAGGGCCATAAAAATCAAATCAAGACGCAATCCTCTATGCAAAATGTTTTCCAAATAAGCGACATCCTAGGCACGGATTTTTTCAAAGTTTGTTTATTAAATTTTGTCAATATGAGATGTTACACGCTCCAACACATTCACGGCACGCACAAATGAAGCAGCAACTATTGTAATAAGAAAAGCTATTATTGCTAATCCACATACAAGTAGATATTCTCTGCAAGTGGATCATACAAATGCTCAGAATTATTTTACACAAAAAATATTACACAATTATATTACACAATGATTACATTCGACTATGATCAAATTTTTCTTACAAGAAGGAAAACATGCTTCGTTTTCACGATAAAATTCGTTTTTATAACCTATATCTTGTCACTTCGGCTTCTGTTTTAATAAAACTATTCCTACGGAAGTTCGTCATAATTGCATTACAATTTGATATACTACGAACTTTATTGGAAAAAAGGGTGTGCTATGATTGTGCCGCCGAAATCTACGCAATTGTGAACGATCTCGCGCGCCTGCACGAATGGGCAACCCGTCATACTGACCTGTATGTTGGTGTAACACCCTGTACGTACGAACACGCGTGCGCGCACACACACACACACACACACACACACACACACTCTCTCTCTCTCTCTCTCTCTCTCTAATATATATAAACTCTACACACAAGTATAAAAACTTACTTTGCAAATGAGAGGATACAATTTTTTCTGACGACGATTCTTCCTGATTTGGATTCAATGGACCTTCACTTGAGGCAATCGCAGGAGGCCTAATAGAAGCTTTGTCGCCAAATAATGAATCCATTGCCTAATACATGATAATGATAATGCGTCAAATATAATGTCCATATATATTTGTGTGTGTGTGTGTGTGATAAAACATACAAAAAAAAATGCCCACGAATTTTTATTATTGCCGCTCTTTTTGTTTAGATCTACAATATTTTTGTATGTCCGCTTCAGGCCAGACATTTTTGAAGAACATTGCTGTGCTGTTATGTCGTAGATTGGATTGGTTTCATTCATTTCAGCGGCTATTTCCACCCAAATTTTGTTACTGCATTTGAAACCACTTGAGAACTCTACCTCCTTTTCTCTATACATTTCAATTAATAAAAGGACCGCTTTGTCCGGCCATATGAACGTTTTTGACTTATCTAAAAATTAAATTAAAAATTAAACACAAATTTTTAAAATAAGAAAGAAATATTAATATATATATTATTCTTAAACCTGCATGAATATACTTTTATAATTAAAGAGTTGATTAAAGATATTGGTTACATAAAAATAAAGTGTGTATCCTTTCTTACCTGCAGCATCGTTTTGTCGACATCATTTTCATTTAAATTTTCATTTATTAATTCTTCCACTTCAATTACCGGCTCAATATTATTATTTTTATTTTTGCTTTGTTCTTTCGCAATAAGGTTAGGCAAAAATACTGAGTCTGTAGAAAACAATGGCTGCGTTCAGCAGAGAAAGCAGCTTTGCAACTGTTGTAAAATTCTTCAATATGATTGGTTTATACATTTAGATCTGTCAGGAACCAAAAGCAAGAACCAATCGTATTGAAGAATTTTACAACAGTTGCAAAGCTGCTTTCTCTGCTGAACGCAGCCATTGATTTAATTAACATCTAACCTATACATTGAATAAATCAAAGCAAAATAGTAATTATATGTTAATTTTACCTTGGCTTGCTTTCTTCATATCTTCCTTATTTAGAAATAATGTTATTATCTCATTTTTTTCATCTATATAAAAACAGGAAATTCCTGTAATTCTTGATCCATCGCAATAAAAGGTCCGCTAGTGCAATCTGCAATCCGTTATGATCTGTTATGGATTATGATTTATTACTCGTTCCAAATTACGCAGCAGCGCATAGACCGCATGAACGCATCAATTGCCTCAAGTCGAAGTTGAAGCAGTCAATGCACTGGGAGGAGTGCTAAGAATACAGTACGGATAGTACAATCTAGGGAATTCGCAGCGCTATCAAAGCGCTTCCAATGCGCGCATTGGTTAAATCGGAACGACTTTCTATGCGATCTACGCGTTTCATGCGTAACTCGGAACGCAACCAAAGACAAGGGTATGCTCTTGCGCATCGATAAATCACGTGACTGTCAAATGGCCAATCAGAATTGTCGCCAAGTTACGTCATCATTACGCGGTGAATTTGAAATTATTATAATTTCTTTGCATGCACATTATAAAAAATTACTATTTTGCCATTTATAGGCGTCATTGTACGAAAAATAACCTTTTATTGAATTTTCGGTAATACATTAATATGCAGTACTTTATTGAGATGTGAAATACAAAGTATATGTTTAAGTATTAGGTGTACAAAAAAGTTCTGAGCTTTAGATTTCATACAACCGAAATAACAATTTAAATTTTATAAATCTTCCCGCCCTTTTGCGGTTTTAAAGCGTTAACATTTGGGCTTCTAAAATGCCATACGGTTTGGCGTTTGATGCACATAACCTCAAAAATCAGTAGTGTTCATCATGGCAATAACAAAAGAGCATATTCGATTTTCCGTCCACTTCGCGTTTCATCTGAAGAAAAATGCTGCTGAAGCCACTGCAATGATTTGTGCTGCATATGGAGAGAACGCTGTAAGTCATGCTACATGTAAAAGATGGTATCAAAAATTTCGCCAAGGAGATTTCAGTCTTAAAGATGAATCGCGTGCTGGACGCCCTGAAAAGATTGAAACGGACGAATTGCAAGCACTGCTGGATATAAACTCTGCGCAAACTGAAAAGGAGCTTGCAGAACAGCTTAGCGTTACGCAG